TGGCCAAAAAATCAACTTGCGCCGTGTTGGAAGCCAGAACTACGAGGACGAAGCTAACCAAGAAATTATTATCAATGTACGCATAATTCATTAAAACGAGCAACTTTCCCAAAGCAAGTTTCGTCGGGCATGAGAACCGAGGAGCAGCTGGCTCCTGGCATGCGTTCCACAGATAGATGATGATGATGATGCCGATAATATTGGCAGAGATGCAGAAATATACGGAAAACTTGTGAAATCATTCAGACTTGGAGACGTATTTTCCCAAGAAGATACAAAATAATTTCCACTGATTTTGGGCGATACTTGGCTCTCGTTCCATGTGCTTGGAATGGTCTAAGCAAATGAGTAGCCACAGGACGCCCCTGATGCCCAAAAAAGTCGGAGTGCACTCTGTCATTATATCATTATATGGAAGCAACATCCGCGGCACAAACACACTCGTGCAACATGCGGCAGCAGAAACACGAAGAAATGAAGGAAGGACGGAAGGAAGGAAGAACCTTGGCCTAACTATCTTCAAAATTTCTCTCACACTTTTGGGCTCTCTTCGTGTCTTTTCTTTGCATGAATGTGTTTGTGTTTGTATGTGTTTTCCCTTTCTCCGGACTGCTTTCTCAATGAAGTTATCGTTGTCAAGTTTTAAGCGTGAACTTTTTGCCGCGACTCCGCCCTGCACCCTGCATCCCCGTTCTCCTCATCATGGCCATGGCCACAAGAATTGGCTTTCTTGGCTGAACCACCCAAGCCCCCGAATCCGCCTACGCCTCCGATCCCGCCCTGCCACACCTCCTCGGGCTGCATCATAATTCGCTATTAGAAGTCACTTAAAAAGTTTCCAAAGTTTTCTGCCATGCAGCTGCCAACATTGTTGTCAGCCACGCCTTCACGGCCCCTCCGCCCACGCCTTGTTGGCCAAAAGTTGTGGGTGTTTTTTTGTGTTTCCACATTTTTTTTATTTTTGGCGTTGTGTCAGCGGGGTTTAAAATAATTGCAATGTCTCGAGGGATGAAATTGGTTAATTGAATAATTGTTAGCATAATGCCAGGGAATGCAGTGGCGGGGAAGGTGAAGAGGAAGTGCTTGACATGACTCTCACATGATTCCCAACTGGCTCCTGATTGCTTGTGCCTTCAAGCAGAACATTTGATCCAATTAACCATCAAAATGCATTCAAAATTTGCCTAAGAAGGTAAAGGATAGATGCAAAAATAAAACGAGGAGGGACGTGTGAGACGCTTCTTACGCGTCACAACTTGTATACCCTGTACTCGGTAGTACATCTGTACCTAAGCGTAAACTTTGTCAAATTTAACTCTTTACGTCTTACATTTTTTCTACATACATACATATGTCATCTACATCTTCATCCCCTAGAGACGCAAACTGCAAGAATCAGATTGTGGAATGAGAGAATGTTCAAAAAATAAAAAAAACTGCTGGGCGGGGTGGGGGAGCCACTGCAAGTTAATTTCTTCATTCTGGCTATAATAATAATCCAATCTAATCCCAATTCAGTGATCTGAATGTATGGTCATACCCTACGGAATCGGGATTTTAGATTTATTTTATCTTCAAAGATTTTCGATCTTTGAGGGGCCGGAAGGGGGCGGGCAAATTTTTTAAATACACTTATATCAGTGTGAGCATACAGCAGTCTGGAGGAAACATTTGGTGGCTGTAGCTCTTATAGTCTCTGAGATCCAGGCGCTCAACAAGACGGACGGACAGACGGACAGACGGACAGACAGATAGATGTACATAGACCCGGCTATTGATGCTGATTGTGGGGTCGGTTAAGTTTCCTTCTCTGCGTAACATACATCCACTTTTTCCCACAAATACAATATACCCTATTTATTCTTCGAGTACCGCGTATAATGATGCATTAAATACTCCCTGTGCCTTCCTACATTAATTCAATAATACTCTTGAATGAATTATTTATATTTTGTGTGCTTTTTTGTGGGTAAATCTTGGCCACGAGCACCTGCTCCCCAGCTGCTTAAGATTACTCGTATAACGCAGAGACTCGAGAGAGAGATTTTATGTCCTGCTGCTTGCTTCTCTTTCCTTTCATGGTGGTAGCCATTAATGGGTTAATTTGCATTAATATCTTCAATTGAATGCGCTGCAGTGCCGCCAATCGATGCTGCCAGTCTCCTCATGTGGCAGGCAGGCAAAAAGGGTATACAAGGGGTATGCATTTTTATGGGTCTGTTTCCATAAATGCCAAAGCAATGATATTCAAAATGAACCTAGTTCTGGCTTTTATCTCACATAATAAAAAACACAAGTAAGGTGCTCAAGGATTGATTTTTTTGTGGCTATTGAAGGACATCCCGTAGTCCCAATAATCGCCTCTCAATTTTCCTTCCTTTGGATTTTTGCATATGGCTTAATTCGAATCGCCATCGCATTGCAATTAAATTCATTTTTCCAGCCAGACACCAATCCCCTCTGCTCCTGTTCCTGCCCTCACCCTTTGGTACCCTTTGGCGAACAGACCCCGCGAATGTCATTTTGGGGCGGGAAAGCCCCGCGAAGAGTATGCAGCGCATAATTGCATTTAAAGCGCCCACAAACACTGGCACTGGCACTGGCAGTGCCACCCACGCCCACCCATCAGCCGCGCTCACGGCTTTCGCCTTTGCCCCTCTTTCCTCCCTGGAAACCACAAGTCAACTGGAGCTGAAATCATCATTAAAGTAATTATAACTGTCAATCCAGAGGCTGGGAGAGTGCCGATAAGGACGCTGGACCCACAGGCAGAGACAGGCAGAGACAGACAGAGAGAGAGAGAGAGAGAGAAGGAGAGAGAGAAAGAGAGAGAGTGAAGTGCAGTGGAGAGGGCGCAGCGGGAAGATCGGATAACCTTTGGAAACATTTGAAGTTTCTATGCAACGACTCTATGGATACCCTATGAAACTCAGTACATAAGGGCATGTACATATGTACATATGTAATAGTTAACACCCCTTACCATTTTAGTACACTTCCCTCCCCACCTACACAGCGAGGAACTTTAAATACGGTTTGGCATTGAGCGGGGGTCGGCGGGGGCCAGCACGTCGATGTTCAAGGTCAGCTGCCTCGCTCGACCCCCTCCCAGCCACTTGACTGGCAATTGGTTTGCAGTGCACGCAAATGAGTAGCTGCTTAATTAACCGCCCCCTCTCCACACTGCACACCAATCCGACGCTCTGGCATAAGAAAACACTGAAAGTCATGGGCAGTTTGTGTGTGATAGCGAGATGGTGACGAGGGAGGGAAGACCGACATTCAACGCATGCAAATGCTCGCTTCAAACGCACACGCACCCCAACTCTAGCCTCCCGTTCGCACTCGCACACCTGTTGTTCATCGATCGAACAGTGTTCGAGCTGGAGGCTGATCAGACAGATGAGAACGACAAAAAGAGTGAGAGAGGGCAAGATGAAGAGAGTGAGTGTGCATGTAACAGATTAGTTAGTTGATGGAGAGGGATGGAGGTTAATTTATTAGACGCTGCGCAACCAAATGTTAACTTAACAACTGCTACAGACAACATCAGACATGCTCGAGGTGCAACATAATCAAACTGTTGCGCCCCGGCTCGACAGGCGCGCAGGCGTGCTCGTCAGCACCGAACCGGCCGAGCAACAGCGAACGACTTGAACGGGTCAGGGACAGTGCTGGCTCGAACATGGCTAGGCTGGAGTAAAAATGCTATATCAAGAAAAGCTTAATGGAGCAAGTACATAATTGAGGAACACAGCTATGGATTACTATCTCCTATATCCTCCAAAATGGTGTCATAATTATTGTGTAAAGCTTCTACGTAAAAAACATGTTTTTATAATTGTTAAACAATTGTTAGAACAATGCGAGAAACATCATGACAACGCTGCATTAACAAAGCTAAATAGCACATATTATAATGACTTTATTACAAATTCCCTTGAAATAACGAAAACGAGAGTAAAAACACATTGAAATTTATTTAATATACTTGCTCTCCGCTTTTTTCCAACAAACTCATATGAAATTACAGCAAGCCAGATGGCCATTTCCATGTTCGAACGTAACATGTTGTGCATGTCGCTTGCTCGAACATGCTTGACACGGGGGATTTGCCGGCTATTCCCATCGCACAAAGGTTGCGCTTGGTGGTTCGATTCAAACACGAAAAACATACGAAACGGCCGGCCGTTTGCTTGCCTTTGCTTGTAGTGCTACCAAAATGCTGGGAAAACACCGATACGTTTGCAGCGACCAAATCTGCTCGGCAGCAGGCAACATGTGTTAAGCGGCTACGAGCGGCTCGACACAACAATCCCGAACGTTGACTAAATCGGTTGGGTCCACGCGCGTTGTTTACCGTTTGCCGTTTACCCGTTTTGCGTATTTTTGACTCGTTGCGTCCCATCTTCCGCGCTTTTTCGGGGCCCGTGGTAAATAAATGAATTGTTTAAACATTTAAACAGAGCAGGACAGAGGAACCGAAGAGCAGGACCATTGTCGTCATCAGCGTCCTCTGTTTCCTCCTTTTGGCGGCGCTTTCGTGTTTTGTTTTTCTCTGCTGAGCCGCGTCTTTGCGTAGGTTATTTTGCCTCTTTGCGTGCGTTCGTGTGTGTGCTGTGCCTGTGTAGGGCAGTGTGTGTTCTCTTTTTTTTCTAAACAAATTCCAAGTGCAATTTTTTTACGAGTGCAGTGTTTTCTCTCTCATGAGGAGAAAAGGAAAAGGAGAGATACAGAAAGAGAAATAACAAGTTGAAATAAAGATCCGAAAACCGGATTCAATAACAGAAGCAGCATCACAAGAGAAGAGCAGAGTAGAGGATCAGAAACAGAAACAGCAGCGAAAAAAAAAACAAACACACGCACAAGGCAGCGTCGCCGCCGCCAGCAGAAGGGCCCTGATCCTCTCAGCGCCGCAGCTGGCAGCACTCTCTCTCTCTCTCTCTCTCTCTTTCTCTGTGTCTCTTTCGCGTTTTTTTAGAAGCAGAACAACGAAGCAGCAGAAGCAGCAGAACAGCATCAACATCAGAAGGTGAGTGTGAACTTTAGCATCCTGTTGCTCTCTCTGTTGTGCGCAGGCGTAGCGGTATGAGGCCCCCCTTTAAGTGCTCCACTGATTGGATCACGATCCCTTTTCCCCCGTCACTGTGTTTTGCGCAAAAATTAAAAGAGTGCGGCTGCAATGAAATGCAATTAAAAGCAGCACCAGCGGCAGAGGATCTCAGTTTGTATTTTGTTTTTCTTGTTCTCCGTCGCTCCGCTGCGCTGCGCTGCTTTCCCTTCCTTTCGCTCTCGTTCTGTATATGGGCTGCGCTGTCGTTTACTGGAATTCTGCCGGTCTGAATTACTGCTTTCTGCCTGGCAACGACGCGACGCTCTAATTTCTGGTAAAACATTTAGCGCGACAAAGTGTGGAAGATGCTGCGTTTTGTGGGGGAGGGGGTTGGGCTCCAGCGATAGACATAGTCGCGCAATTGATAGACGGTGAGCGCATATCGATAAGCCGCTAATTGAATTAGCACCTGCCCCTTGCACACCCCACAGCCTTTGCTGCCACAGCAAAAACAAATTGGATTAATGAAAAAGAGAGACGGAAACACAGAGAGAGGGAGAACGAAAAAAACTAAATGGTAAAACGATGGATTTCTGATGCAAAAAACAAAAAGAAAGGGTCCGCAAGAGAGATAGAGTCTGTCAGTGTGAGAAGGAGGGAGCTGCAGCTACAAAATCTTTCTTTCATAATCGAAGAGTGCGAAGTAGTAGAAGGGGAAAGGGGATGGCCACGACCCGTCATGATAATAACGGTTACACAAATTTTTGTTTATGGTTTAGTTTTTTGTTTCTTCTTCTGTGAACGTTGTCTTTTTTTTGCGTGTTTTCCTTTACTTTCGTTTGGTTTTCAGTTTAGTCTTTTTTCTGCGATGGCCATTTTCTTCCCGTTCCCTGTCTCTGCTATTCCTGGAGTGCATAGGAAACAGAAATTGGGAAGACCCTGTAGGATTTAACAGTCAAGACTTCTCTGATTTCGATTCTCAAATTCGATTCCCATCGAATGAAATCGATTATTCATCGAAAGACAACCCCTTTTGTTTAATTAAACTTTTGTCTGCGCTAATTGCAAAATACGAGACCCGTCGCAAAAATAAAGATCATTAATATTATCTCTGTTCAATTTCGATTCTCCTTTCCATTTCGATTTGCATTTAAATGAATGATATCTTTTATCTGAATTGTTTGTTGAGGCAAGGAGAGGCCGGAGGAGCCAGGCACCACTGAAGGGAAAGTGTGTGTGTGTGCAAATCGTGTGCGGCCCAGCGCTTGGGGGGCTTCTTCTGGGATCTATTTATCTTGCATTGTGATCCCATCCAGTAATTAAAATCGCCACAAAAAAGAAAAATCAAAACCATTTTTTGATGTACTTTTGATTTGATTGCCCCCTGCCTTTCCCGCTGAAACAGCAAACAAAAATTGGATTATGATTACGATATTCGCATGACATTCGATAGGTAGCTGTCGTTAATGAGCTACACACCGCCTTTCCCCTCGCTCTTTCTCTGCATGGAGCCCCCACCCATCTCATATTTCACCCGAAAAAAAAGTTGTGGGTAAATGGTTGAATGGATGGATGGATTGTTGGATGAATAGATTCGTGTCATATCCGCAAAATGAATTGGCATTCGTCTGACGCGTCCGTCTATTGCAGAGTCGCGTAATTGGAGGCAGAATTTGGTGTGGAGGGGAAAGGTAGCAGAATGTGAGAGGGAGAAATGGTTTCGGGTTTCGGTTTCGGTCTGGTTATATCCGCAAAATCAACACATTTCCAAAGAGGGGAAGCGGGTTGATGTGGTGTCTGTCAATGGGTTAATTGGAATGGCATATTTCTCAGCTATTAGTCGGGATTAGTCGATGAAAAGAAATGATTATTCGTGTATTAAAGTGTTTATTTATTGATGACAAGTTACAAGACATGGATGTATATTTCGTTTATGGGGTTTCGAGTGTTTATTTTGTGAGTTTCCTTGTGGCAGTGTTGGAAAAGATTTGACAAACAATTTGCGATCGATAAAAGTCTGTTATTAAGTGTTTCAATGTGAATATTGTTTTCTGTTACTTCATCGTTACTAATTAAATAATCGATAAATCTAATCGATTAATAGCTTGATTAATGGTTCATTTAATTGGAAATTGATATTGTATGTATCGATTGTGTATTCTGTATATTATGTGGCTAATTAATTGATTATTTATCGTTTATTGAAATATCTTTTGTAATTTGTGGAGTGTTAATCGATTATTGCTAGGTTTCATTTGATATGTGCTTAATATATACCAATAATCGATAAAAATCGATCAATACTTAACGATTATTGATATTTAACCTTGCTAAATCCTCTTACAAATCGAAATCTCCCCAAATGTGCAGCAAGTCATCCATTTTCTCCTCAAAAGAGTAGTAACTGGGCTGCATCAAGGACCCATTTGGTGGATCTTCCGTGATCTGCATCAATGCAAAAACCTTCCCGATCTGCAGAACTACATATCCATTCACATCCGCATCCTCCGGGCCGATATTCATCTGAAATACATTCATGCCATTGACTTTAATCAGGCCATGGATTGCAACCATTCGTGTCACTCCATTTTGCATCTTATAGGCATAAGCATGCAGTGCTGCCATGTTCTACAGTAGGCAGTGGGAATAGCGGCTATTGCAACTTTATAAGGATGCCTTGGGAGGCGTGCACTCACCTGGTGGTCAACGAAAAATTCATTTTCCTTACTGTTGCCTATGCGATACATGATGAACGACTCGAGGGTGCGCACTGGCCCCACATTAACGCTGAGCTTTACTGTAAAACTGCGTTCCGAATCCATTTTGAAAAAAATGTAGAAACAGAAAAAATCGAGAGAGAGAATTTAAATTCTTTTTTTCCTGTCCGTCTCGTTTCACTTTGAACTCAAAACTGATTTTTGTGATTTTTGTTTGTAGGATTTGACGGGTTTTTAGTGTTCAAAACAGTACATAGCAGCCGTAGAAAATCGAATCGATGCTCTGTCCTTTTTTTTTCTCAGAAAGTTGCCTGAGAATAACTTCAGAATAATTGTAATTTTTGCATGATTTTTAGCAATTAATTTATTGCAAAAGCCACAAAATCCATTGCAGTAGAAGGTCTGTTAAAATCGAAAGTTCTATCAATGTTCTAACGTTGTTGAATATTAAAGATAATTTCATGGTATTTTAATTTCTTGGTTTCATTCAGATCAATTGCATCCAGTGTTGGAGGCACAGTGTGGCATGCAATTCAGATTCCACCACAGCGGATATAATTTTGAATGAATTCATCGATTTATCATTTTTCGTTTATCGTTTTCTTTCGCTTTTAATCATCGCTCAATTGTATGTATTTTGAGAGCTGTTGCTGCTGTTGCTGCTGCTGCTGCTGCCTTTGCGTGTGGCATGCTCCTTGGTATTCGCATTCGCCGCAGACCCCGTTTGCAGTTCTATATTTAAGTTGCATGCCCCAGCCCCAGCCGCCTCATAGAGGGGAAAGAGTAGGGGGCAGCGCTGCTGCTCTGCCACTTTTCACATCGTGCCACACGAAATGTCTGCGTATCGTGAGGCAGCAACAGCAGAAGCAGCGAAAAAAGAGGCTAAATATAAAATAATTTCCAAGCCAAAACGAGCGAAAAACCACTCGCGGCAGAAGACAATTGAGAAGAATTTCGTGGCACAAGACGGAAAGATGCCAAAAAAAAAATAAGAGGGGCAAAAGAAACAGAGAAGTGGCGGGAGGAGAGCGACAAAAGCAAGGCGACAAAGAGGGAAACATGTTTTATCTTCGGGTCTTCTAGGATATTCATAGGGTAATCGAAGAGCCGATTTGATGGCAGGCATTATTCGTATCTCTCAGAAGATTAAATGCCTCAATCACAGATTCAATACCTCATCATCTACGAAAAAATCGTTTTGTTTAGAGTTTATTTTTCTAATTTTCACAGGGTATATGCTTGGTCGGAAGCAAATTGTCTGGTTCTGTGTGACACTGCTTAACGATGGATCTGTAGATGGTGGAGTTTTCTGTGGGAATTAGAACCGAAACTGAAGCTAAAGCTCAGCCATGAAAGACCTTGAGGCCACGGTGATCACACAGTTGCTGCCACCCGTACCCCTCAGACACTAGCGCTGCTGAAATTTTGAGCCAAAAAATGTGACAGAAATTCAATTGAAAAGGGCCACAAATATTAATGCTGGAAATCTTTTAACAATTAGCGGAAAATATTTAAGGAAAATTGAACATGAAAAATCCAAAATTGAAATGCATTTTACCATCATTTTGCTATATTTTCAGACTTAAGGGAGATTTTTGGGGCACACTAAATCCTAAGGCGCAGACTTGTGCACCGTTTTTTTCTCGAGTGCCTCTCAGCTGAAGATTTCATGCTACCCCAAAATGTAATGCCGCACATTTGTGCAACACGTGTGTCGTGTGTCGTGTGCCCAGCACCACCAAACAACCCGCAGAGCTCAGCAAGAACCAATAGCCATTTTTGTCCGTGGTTTGGAGTGCACATTTTGCTTACAAAGAAGAGGTGAAGCTGGTGTCGTAGCTGAAGCTACATATGTATGTACGTCGCCACAAGTGGTTGAAAGGGTGTCTACTCGTATTGGTGGCAAAAGCAAAGGAAGCCAAACACATTCAAGCACCAACAAGTCACGAAAATCCATTAAAATGATCGACCACTCCACTCTTTGGTATTATACATACATTCTACATTGATTCGGAGGGTATTACTATGGTCGACTCCACTCTGATGTTGCTCTTGTGGCATGGCCATGCCCCACCCTCTCTGCTGTTGTGTGTGTGTGTGTGTGTGTTTTTTCCATCGTGTAATTAAAATAATAATGCGGTGTTTCAGTGCGCGATTTGGGCTTCGCCTTCGGAGTTTTGTGGCTGCGGCTTTTTGGGCTGCAGGGGCAGGGACGGAGATTGTGTGCGTCTCGAGTGGGCGTGGAGTGTGTGGAGTGGAGTGCACTGCACTACCTTAGGGCGCGGCAGGTGGAAGGAGTGAAGGTGTGAATAATTTGGTGCTACAAAAATTGTGTGTGTGTGCGCATCGCCCTCCACTCTTTCAGATGCTTCGTCCGCCAATTGTTTGTTGGTTTTTTCTTGTAATAGGAAAAAAGGTGAGGGGAGCATGGGGCATGTGCTGCCCAGAGACAGAGAGGTGTGGCACAGAGTGGGGTGCAATGGTGGCGTGGCTGCATCGTGAGGCTTTGCCGTTGTTTATTCTTTGCATTTCTATTTTGTTGACTTTTGTGTGTTTGCTCTTTGGTTGCATATTTTATATTGTTGGCATTTTGGTAGATTTTTAACAAGAAATAGAGACAGACAGAAGAAAATGAGAAAAAGTATTGTTGATAATGCATACTCGGAAATGGAATGGTACATGTGATCACAGAGTGAATGAATCAATAAACTAAACTCATCTGCAAATCCCTATGTTGTGATCTGTGATTCTTCCATTTAGTGGACTTTTGTGGACTATACGGCAAAAGTTGTTGGACTCCAAAAGTAAAGATGTACTTCCAGCAAAAGAGAGAGAGAGAGATAGGGAGCGGGCGATCGATTCCTGTGAAAGAGAGCGAGAAAATTAATGCTTAACCAGAAGACAGCAGCAGCAGCAGAAGCTGAAGAGAATCGTGATAGAAGGACAGTGGATCAAGAGAGAGAGATAGAAGGAAGCAGAAGGCGCACAAAGCAGCAGAATGAATAATAACAACAAATATGCAAACGAAGAACCGGTTCCCATGTCTGCTGCTGCTCGGTTGCTGCGCTGCTTACTACTCCGGTTGCGGCGTCTGCGGGCGAGATATTGCTGTTATTTTCATGTGTGTGTGTGTTTTTGTGTATGCTGTCCCGTATAGAAATTCCTGCTACTTGCTGCTTCCACTGTCCATCTGCTGTTCCTCTGTAGCTGTTTGCAGCTCTTCCTGAGTGAGCGAGAACGAGGATGGAGTGCAGTGCAGTGGAGTGGGACGCTCATACAGCGACATCAACCAGCGACCCATGTGTTGTTTTGCCCGCCTTATGATGATTAACTGCTGCGCAATGATCATTAGCACTGGCTGCCTCTTCGTCATGTAGCCATGTCTGTATGCGGATGCGTATGCGTGCGTGTTCGAGTTCGAGTGCGTGTTCGGTCAGCCGCAGACGAATGTTTGAAGTCGAAGCGCAGCGCAGTGTTAGCTAGTGAATGACAAAGCGGCGGGGGATGCAGAAAGAGAGGCCTGGTTTAATCTATGCTCTCGCTTACTGCACTCCACCCCTCCCTCACTCAGCATTTCAGCGGGTAAAGGAGAGTAGACATAGAAATGAAACCATATTCAGGGTCACGCCAACGAAGAGCTAAGAAAAGAAAGCTTCTTGAAAGAAACAGATGGACAGAGAAGAGAGAGAAAGAGAGAGAGCAAGAGAGATGTTCCGTGTGGTTTGTAACTAAAGATCAATGCATTTTATTAGATCAAATTTTTAGTGATTTTCTAATGGAAATATGGGCCAAAATTGTTGTGGTTTCTACGGATCATTTGAGAATCTAGGTAGGAGGCTACCTCCTGGACTTCAATTTGGACTTTTCTTCTCTCATCTTCCACTGGAGGCGACTTCTTTGGGGCCTGTTTTTGGAACCGGTTACCGCGTCGGAAAACCCGTAAGAAGATAAACGAGGCATGGTGCAACGTGCCTCCTGCTTGAGAGGGGGTGGCCGGGTGTTGCAGTTGCAAGCAGAGACTGGTGGTTGGTGGGTGGGGGAGAGCTCCTATCCCATTTTTTCTTGTTTATTAACGTTAAAATTTGTGGACTCTTTTCCTGCTGCTCTATGCCGCCCCATTTTTCCTGCCTCTTTCCACCGTTGCCTCGTTTCCTCGTTGCATATCCTGTGGCAATAGATCCTGGAGGCGTGGGGTAGGAGTGGTTTTGCGGTGCCTCCACTTGGCAAAAAAAGGAAGCGATTTGAAGGCAAATTGCCAAAAAAGCTTTTTGCTGCCACCGCTGCTGGAGCCCCGCCCACGCCCCAAGCCTTGTCAACGGCACTGTGCCGCAAGCTCCCAAGCTATCGCTCTCTCCCTCTCACTTGCGCTCTGTGTGCAACACTCTCGCGTTTATGCAAATGCACGTGAAAATATTCAAAATATTCTGCTCAATTTTTTTTTTTTTTTTTTGTCTGCAGCTTCCACGCTTTTGGCCCCGTTTTTGCTTTCAATTTGTACCATGCCACACCGCCGCCCCCTCTCTTGTCACAGCTAAGCCTCCAATTGTCATCGACATATTTCGCTTATTGGCGAATACTCTTTGCATCTCTCGAATCCATCGGTGACGCGGTGCTCCCAGAACTTGGATGCTGCCCCGACTTCGTTTTGTGTTTTATTTTTGGGCTCCAACAATTTGTCAACGACTGCAGATGCCACCGCCCCAACCCCAGCACCCATCGTGAAGGTGTCAGCACAGTGCAACGACTAGAGGAATACCCTGTGCAAAGGGATTTCTCCGCCATGTGGCTACGGGAAAGGAAGGGAAAGGGGAAGAGTCTCTTGGCATAAATTTAGCCTGAATATGCCCCTGGCAACAGCGAGAGGCAAGCAGCCGCTGGAGAGCTCATGCCTCATTTAGTGGCAGCAAAGAGTCATCGATAGGAAGAGTGCAACAGAAGAGTAGGGGCGACAGGCACATTCGTTGGAGTGGAAGGAAGAGGAGGCAGAAGTGGTACACAGTGAAAAAAATACCAGAAGAAGGCAGAGAGCGTGGTAGAGAGCGAGAGATGGAGCGGGGGGCGAATAGGGGGCACCCGAGAGCTTCAACCTTTTTTGTGCAATGAAGCAAAACCATTTTGAAGAGCGCACGC